AAAAAACTGATTTATATTTATTGTTTGAATTGATTTTCAAACAGAAAGAGAGAGAGAGAGAGAGAGAGAGAGAGAGAGAGAGAATTGCAATTTATATAAAATTTATTTTTGCTTTCAATATATATTGAAAATACGACAACAAAACTCTCTTTTCGTATTTTTAAGAAATTTTTATCAATCAAATGAATAGATATATAAATAATTAATGAGTTTCTGTATTGAATGATAGAGACGAGAGAGAGAGAGAGAGAGAGAGAGAGAGAGCAAAGAGAGAGATGGTTTTGTGTGATCAATAGATTTGCACGAAGCAAGAAAAAACTAATGTATATTTTAATCGCTAAACATAATAACAAATGATACCCAAAATACTCGTCGACATTATAGTCTTGTGTTATATATAATTGTCTGAAAAACTATAAGAAATAATAAACTATAAGAAAGTGTTGTAACGCTAAACCATAAGTAAGTTTGTTTTGAGCCTTTATTTTACACTAAATATAACACAAATTATTAATTATCTATAACTAGTGGGTTAAATTAAATTTGCTCAATTAAAATTATTAATTTTTATTTAATTAAATAAAACGTAAATGATCAACGTAACTATATAAATTAACAAAAATAAGAAACTACAGTATTAATATTCAAACTTACAAAATATAAATTACATAACAGACAAACTATTTACATTAAGGTAAAAATCAATTGAAAAATTATTTAACAAGTTCAATCTGCATTGGAAATCAAACCAGATTAATTAGAACTAACATCACCATCATGCACTTCAACACCAATTACATATAAATACATGGAGGTTGGGTTGTAACAAACAAATAAAAATGACCATGATGATACTCACGTGTATGGTTGGGCGCATACGGGCGCGTATCGTATGCGAAGATGTATGGGATCGCTGAGTGCGGTTCCCATTTGGTTAGTCGATTGGCACTGATATGTTCCGCTCTGCCAACGGCTGACGTGTTGTAAGACTAACGACTGATTGCTTTCGATAATGCCTGCAAAATGTGGGCATAAAAAACGGTATTTTATTGTGTGTTATATATATCGGGAGTAAAGTGTAGTGCGGGTGTTGGGAGGGGGAGTGTGATTGAAAGTGATAAGTTTATAATAGGAAAGTTGTTTTATTGTGGTAGTAGGTTTTTAACTGATTGGCTGATTTAACTATCAATAGTCTAATGTGTTTAATTTGTTACAATCTAGGTTTAATATGATATAATGTCTGATGGTAATAATAGCCAGAATATTATGGACGGGTTAAATTTTATGGAGTTTATTATAGACACCCACATAGTATTTATTGATTTATTGCCTCTCTCTCTCTCTCTCTCTCTCTTTCTGTTTGAAAATCAATTCAAACAATAAATATAAATCAGTTTTTTGTGTTTCGTTTTGAATATAAATATACGACGACTTTATATATATATATTTCTCTCGTTTTTATTTTTGTTGTGAATAATAATAAAAACAGATTTCACTTCTCTCTGAAATCTAAGAGTATAGCATATATTTGTATAAAAATTTCAAATTCAAAAAACCGTATTTTTATGCCGTAAGAGAGAAGTGTATGAAAGGAAAAAATGCTTCAAATAAAATATTCCCAAAGAAATAAACAAACTCTTCAAATATTAAATACAAATATATATATATCGAGACTTTGATAAAGACTATTCTGTATGTATTTGTGATCCACGAGAGAGAGAGAGAGAGAGAGAGAGAGAGAGAGAGAGTTAACATTGGAGAAAAGAGTAATTTATTTAAATGCATACTAAATCATTATTAAATAAAAATAATAAAATATTCTACTACGAATATTCTGTCCGCGTGTGTTATGTAAGTTTAATGTTTAGATTATTCGTTATTTCTAGAATATAATATATTTTATATTTATATATTCTATTGTTAAAACTTAACGCCATTTCTTATGTGTATTATACTGTACAAAATTGTGTACTACTTAATAGTACTATTATATAAACCATTTTTTATTTCAATAATATTATGTTTAATAAAACGACTATTGTTTTTATTTTGCCTTTGATTGAATTCATAATGAATTGTATTTATTTTTATTCGGACCTTGTAGTTATTATAAATCCAGTTCATTAAACTATTATAAATAACAAATAAAAATTAATGACCATTTAATAACCTTAATGATCTCAAAATAATTTGACCATTTTTTCTAATACCGTAATTTGTAACTTAAATAGTTTTGTGATAAAACCCTTTAATTTTTAATATAAGTTATCAATTACTGCCTTTTCAGATAACTATAGATTTATATTTTTCAACCATGATCAACTTATCAATAAATTAAACACCCTTGAACAAATTATGTGATAAAAATCAACCTCACTCTTTTAAATTATTTACTATAATTACAGTTTAATTACAATGGTAACAAAACTAAGCATGGAATAGTTGTCAATAATTATGATGATAAAAAAACATTGATTATAATATCCTAATTGTCAATATAAATTCTTATTTTTTCAAAATTTGTAAAATGCGCAAAAATATATTAATTAATTATTTTTTAAATTTTAATTAAATAATAAAATTAATTGATTATTATTAAAATGATGTATTTTATTATTTACAGTTGGTGTTGGTGGTGGCTGCCTTTGGTTTCTCCTGGCTACCATTGGTATGTATTAATCTATAAACAATTAATTAATATCACCTTGGTATTAACTAACCACGCGTATCATAAGCAATATAAATAGTTTATCAATATCGATAAATTTAAGAATTTTTATCATCGCATATTATTTTCCATAGCATTAACACAGACACAATATTTTATTCAACACTACTTTATAACCACATTTACGGCTAATTAGCCAACCATTGAAAGGCTTATAAAAAATTAATTGTCAATAAAAACTAAATGTTAAGTAAATTAATCGCCTATTTATTATACAAGGAAATTGTGTTTTAATGGTTACAATGTAAATAGTTTTAATTTGTTTTGTTTTAGCCCAAGTTTTTTATGAGCTTAATCAATTTACAGTATATTTTACTGTTTTTATTTTATACTATAAAAAACATGATCTCTTAATACTTGATTAAAAATTAATTAAATGCTGGAAAATATCAGTCAAGCAATTAAGTGTTTGTTCAGTTAGTGTACACATAGTCTGTATCGATATATCAATGTCTGTATATTTAACACTACAAATGCCTACAGGAATATGTATTATAGGAATTATGTGGGAATTGTTGAGAGAGAGAGAGAGAGAGAGAGAGAGAGACTTAGTAAATCTATTTGACCCAGAATTTTGCCTCTGATTTATATATATTGAATCAAATAAAATCAAAATCTAATTTTATTTACAAAACTCCCAGTATTTCATGTTATCGTTTCAATCAGTACTCAAACATAGAAACTGATTGAATCCTATAGTCGTATACTAGGATTGTGTGCACACAATATAATGTAAAGACTGTACTGTAAAGTATAGTATATATAAATTGATGGTTTGTTTTCATGCTATTCCTACTCAAGACTTAATTAAAATAATTGTTATAACATAGCCATAGTTTTTTATATAGGTAATAAAATTACTCTACTAGACTAATTTATGCCTGATATGGGGCTGGTGTACACTATTAGTTAGTATACATTAAGTTTGTAATACTAGCAAAATAATGTATGGCTTATAGACATACTAACACACAAGCAAAACACAACTCAATCCCATATCTCTTATCTAATAGCTATAGACTTAGACTTTTCGTTACTGTCATTAAGTGTCTTAACGTTTTGCATCATTTGGTCTCTTATTTTGATTGCTTTAAATCTCTTCTCTCTTTTACACAATCTCTCTCTCTCTCTCTCTCTCTGAGAATTTGCTTTCAAAGCTATAATACAAATCAAATTAAAGGCGAGTTTGGGATCAAATCACTTATTTAAACAAATGTTTACAACAAATAACAAAAAACTTTCTTTAGTTTATATATTTAATGTGTTATTTGATTTTCAAATACATATTATTTGCGTTCATTTCCATTAAGTTTAATAATAATGGAAATTTGTTGACCATGTTTATTTTTACCACCAGAATATCTATCACCTTTTGGTCGATTTCAAGATAATTAACCCCGTGTTCAACATATTTCTCATCTGTCATTGGATCGCCATGTCGTCAGTTTGCTATAATGTATGTCATTATTGTTATGCTGTATTCAATTGAGCTAAATATGATAAATATTAAATTTTTAATCATCATAAAAATAAATATGGTACATAATACGGTACAATATATAACTTTTAGGTACAGAATATTCTTATACTAAATAATATACATAAAGTTTTTTTGTTGTAAAAATCCAATTATATTATTTTATGTGATACATAGCGCAAAACATATAACTTTAATGAAGCTCATTTACTATTTTATGAACTGCAACAAGTTTAATATACAATACACTAAATCTATACAATTATTATATGAAAATATTTTAATCATCATAAATTTTTCAATCATTATTTACCAGCCATTCATATACTGTTGGCTAAACGAGTCGTTTCGAAAAGGTATGTTCATTTAATTATTATAAATATTATAGAAATGTACCCAGATCATAAACATAGTGAATTAATTTTCACCATGCTCAATACGATAGGCGCACAAAAGCTATTTCACATCATCTGTTGCTGTATTCACGCCAAACAACAGCCAGTGATTGAGGAGATGTCGACGACGGGCACCGGTAGCTGTCGGCTGAACAATGAAAAAACAATGGCCACTCCGGCCGACTCACCCCCGCTGTCGTCGGGCACGGGTGGGCCCACCCGTACGACCAACGCTATCGGCAGCGCAGCCACAGTGACCGCTGCGGCCACTGTCGGCGCTCCGGCGGCCGCTGTCGTTGACCACAAAAATGTCTGTAATATTGTTAACGATAAATGTAATCAATCCACGTTTGTCTAACATCCCGATCATGGTCCTATTTTTGCCACCCAGACCACTTAAATTACTTTATGACTACTTAAACTGGTACCCTGTTCATATTTATTGTATACGCCCCTTGCCAATAAATCTCAGCGATAATTTGTATCGTAGTGGTAAATTAGATATTTTCGCAACCTTGTTAATCTCATCTAATTTATTTTGTTTTGATTGAATTTGTATATTATTGTGGCAAATAATTGTTACCCGAGTTTTAATTTATTAATCGGGGCTCTTTTATAATTAAAACTCTGGTATTTATTTGGCATATAATATATGGATTATGATTATATAAATAACGTACCTGGATTAATTGCCGGATTAAAATTGTTATGGTAATATTTTTATTTATTACATAGACAGATTTATATATACATAGTATTATAAGTACAATACATACTGTATTTGTTTATATAATTAGCTCTGAAATATTGTATTATTTGAAATGTTTACTTATGTTTACTAATTGTAATCATTGATTAAAAGTAATCATTTAATTATTACCATGTATTATAAAACTTGTGTTGACATTAAATATATGAATGTATATACAAACTTAAATTTATATACGATAAACCAATTAATTTAGACATATTAGCGGTTACTATAAAAGGTAAACTTATCTTATTATTACTATAATTATATTTAATGTTATATTTATATATAAATATATATATAAAAATTAAAGTAAATTTGTTTTTATCCCCAAAGGATATATACAATTGCGGCCAAAAATACTGATATTATTGTGTTATTATAATAGTATAGAAAGAAAAACATTAACAAAAATTGCACATAAAAACAAATATAACAAAAATAATAAAAGTTTTTTTTATTACATTACATAATAAACAAGACATACATTTAAACAGACAAAACAATTCAATTATTCCTACAATAGAAATACATTATATGTTATATGAATATTATATTAGATTTTATTGTATATAATAAGTCTTATATGATTATTATTATTTATCATACCTACAATTTGTTTTACATTTATTTACACTATATAGTTTATTTAAAATATAAATGATTATTTGATTGTTGGTAAATATTTATTAATGGGTTATTTAATATAATATACCTATAAACTTTTAACTATTGTTTTGTTGTTTATGTATAAATATAATAAAAAAATGATTGTTTAATTTAAAATAATGTGTTTTGTATGTGATTTGCATAGAAATGATATGATTATAAATTTTATTGCTTATTAAAATTGCTTTTAGACATTAAATATATTTAAATAATAAATATAATTATAACATTAATGAATTTAATAAAAACCAGCATAGACTAAAATAAACAACGAGTTAAATATAATGAAAATATATATGTTTAACAAATACCGTTATAAATAACATTAAGTTAAAAATTTAATAAGACTTTTATGGGTTTTTGGTTGAAATTAATTTGAAATTTTCTAAACTATTTTGTTTATGTTATCATTTTTCACAGTTATTTTAACATGATAGTTATTTATTTATATAAATATAATTTTATTGAGTAAAATAGTGGGTTATAAAATAACTACACTGGATCTTGATAACATCTCTCTCTCTCTCTCTCTCTCTCTAATATATAATGTCACTCTATATTAAT